AGAAGGAAAGAACGAAAGAAAGAAAGAAAGACAGACAGACAGACAGAAAGAAAAGAAGAAAGAACGAACGAATGAACGAACGAAAGAAAGAAAGAAAGAAAGAAAGAAAGAAAGGAAAATAAAAGAAAAGAACAGAACAGAAAAGAAAAGAAAAGAAAGAAAGAAAGAAAGACAGAAATAAAGAAAGAAAGAAGGAAAGAACGAAAGAAAGAAAGAAAGAAAGAAAGATAGAACGAAAGATAGATAGATAGATAGATAGATAGATAGATAGATAGATAGATAGATAGATAGATAGATAGAAGGATAGATAGACAGATAGACAGATAGATAGATACAAAAAAATAAAGATAGATCGGTAGATAGAAATAGATAGAAAGAAAGAAAGACAGATAGATAGATAGATAAAAAGATAGATAGATAGATAGAAATATAGATAGATAGCTAGATAAAAAGATAGACAGATAGAAAGAAAGATAGATAGAGAGAAAGAAAGAAAGACAGATAGATAGAAGTATAGATAGTTAGAAAGAAAGATAGATAGATGGATAGATAGATAGATAGATAGATAGATTTGTAACCTTGATAGCTCTTGTAAAATCTACCCACTAACTGACCCTGCGCTTTGAAGACAACCGCAGCCCTGCAGCGAGGTGTTGATCCAACGTTGGTCACCCAACTTCCGGCCCATCTTCGATGGTGTGGTGGTGCGCCAGATTGGTTGGATCTTGACCAAATCTTGGTAATGGGAATATGGTCGTTTACCAGAGGGTAACATCCATGGGAATATCCATGGGAATATCATGGAATGGGATATATCACCAACCATATTTGGGAAAACTGGCCGCTCGCCCGAAATCGGCGAGGTCTTTTCATGGAATATCTACGTCTTGGCGGGTGGCGCTCAGCGTGAGGTGATTCCGACATGGCTTGAGACCGTTGTCTTTCTATGGCCAGTTATGATTCCTTGGATAAGGCCGTGAAGTGAATTACCCTCTGGTAATTTAACAGTTTGCGATTGAAATTGGCCCATAAAAATAGTTGATTTACCGTTTTTATAGATTGTTATTTTCCATTTCGCAAACTGTTAGTTTACCAGAGGGTAAACCCCATGAATTCCCATTAAGTCACCATAGAATCCAATAAATTCCCATTCAATCCCATTAAATTACCAGTGAATTATCAGTGTAGGCCCTTCCAGTTGAACGTGACAGTGAGCTGGCGAACGCCAGGCTGTAGGCCCCACACTCTTTGGTGCTGCACCGGGGGCCAATGGCAAGGCGCGAAGATGGCCGGGGTTCCTCCGGTGTCCCGAAGAACATGGGGATTTAGGCCGTAAAATGATGATTTCACCAGCGGAAGGCGTGATGGAGCCGTATCAAACATGATGATTTGCCAATGTGAAATATCCGTTCACAAGGGAACCCAGTCCATGAATAGATCCAGTACTAAATCAGGGTTGGGGGGTTAGTATTGGGGTGTTTGGAGAATTTTGGTTCTGCCAGAAGCCACAATTACCTCCCATTTATGTCTGATAACCCCGCCAATCGACTTACGAACCAGTTCTGTAGTTCTGTCCGAATCCTGGCAGATCCCTCCTTCTGTGGATTGCTCGAAGTACTCCTTGGACGGCTTTCGAAGCTGGTGCCGGTGATGTCGGTGCGTTTGGAGACCAGTCTGTCTGGATACGCCATCCAATTAGAGATGACTTGGAAGAAAAACCATGTTTTTGTGATAGTTTGAGGCATTTTCTATAGCGATTAAGAGTCAAGAGTGCAGGATGTTTAATCTAATTGTGCACAATTGTGCCACGTCATATCCAAAGCTGAAATAGGTGACGTATGGGGAAACAAGGGAGAAACAGGAGGGTAAAATTGGAGACATCAGCACCAATCGGCTCAGCTTGTTAGCTAGCTGCCCTATACTTTCATATAATATTCTTGGATTGAAACCGCCAAAGAAACCTAGTTATCCCATAGATAACTGACTCTGTTACCTAGACACCTGACTATATCACCTAGACCCAGATATCCAATCAAGACCAAATGAGTATATGAGTCATGATGCGTGAACCCCCAATTTCGGGACCTTAGATACCCCCAAACGAGGCACCCCAGGATGATAATACCTCAATCATTCTGTTTTTTTTGGGGATGATGTCACCTGATGATTTTGGTTAGCCATCAGGGGTATAACATAAATATCATAACTTTTTCATGGAGATGTTTTTTTTTTCCATTTTTTCATGAATATAACTTCTGATTATCATGGATGAACCACTTCTTTCGACATTGATCCTTTGAGTCCCTGCCAGGTGTTGGGCAAAGATGGGTCCGGGCAGCCTGGACGGTACCGGTCTCCGTGTTTCGTGATCTTCACCAGTTTTTGTCGGTTCAAAACTTTAGGAACATCTTTTTGCAAAGGCCATAGTTTGAACTGCAGAAGGATGCAGAATGATATGTACTTTCATGATTTGGCATGTGCACACTCCAACTGCAGATCTACATATATCTACCTATGTCATACCTACCCTTACCTACCTATCAAATACATTCCGTCTTTTGCATATCATCCCCTGATCCTGGGTCGATTCAGCGAAGCAAAGGGTGTTTTGAGGTGAGCTTTGGGTGCAAAGCAAAGAAGGCCGCGGTTTTCCGCGGCTTTTTGGGAATGGGAAGGTCACATCTCAATTGTTTATTTGAAATGGGAAGGATGTGACCTTCCGCAATGGGAAGGATGTGACCTTCAATTCCGCTCACTTTGTCTGAAACTTCTGTTTTTTTTTGTTTGGTTTGAAGTTGACTCTAGCCTGCAGCGGCTAAGAAGTCACCACCCGCGGAAGGGCGGGCCACATCAACTGTCAAAGGGTGCTTGCTGGAATATCCCAAAGTCGCTTCTATAGTAGAGCTTCCAGTTTCATTTGGAAATTTAACAGTAACCATCAGCAAAACATGGGCTTTGTTTCGCATCAAAGATATGGGATACAGTCTGATATAGTTGATACATGATGGTTGGTGATGAGTTTCGTCCAAGTCTGGGATGTTCAAACTGCTTGGGGGGGCAAGTTAAGCAACAAACAGCATTAGTTGAAGCCACACGCTTGCAGCGGAAGTCTGAAACCCGGCAACCTTTCTAGCCAGGTCTTGTTGCACTTTGGAGGAACACTTGTCACTAGACTCAGTGTGAAAATTCGGTCGGCTTGCATCCAAATGGGTCGGTCTGAAGATAGGGTATACCCATATATACCCCTAAAATTGCCGTTTAAGATGGAACATGATATAACATGATGACACCCCAGGGGATGGAATGGGGTAGCCTATTTTCAGACAAACCCTTAAATTAGACAAGAAATTGGACAGCCCGGAGAGTTGTGAGCATCATGGAAAAGCTACGGCAATAACATATTTTTTTTTGCGGGAGGGTTAGTGGTCTTTTAGCTCCAAATGGCCTCCAGATTTACAACTTGCGTCACTGGGACAATTGCGCCTAGTCCCCCGTTACTGGTTTCATCCCAGGCAAGTTTTATAGGCATGACCAGTTTCAGATGAGGATTCCAGGAAGTCCCCAAGCGGGGTTATGGCTTCGTGGTTATTGCATGTTGACCAGTGAGTTCCCCTCGGTACAGTAACCAAACCCGGCGCTGGCAAAACACTTGAAAAAATAACAGGAGGATCACCCACAAGATAGTCAATGACTCAATGAACTGAAAACAAATGAACTTAAGTCTCACCATTGGCCAGATGAGCCATCAACCGTAGTTCATTATCCCATTGAATCCCCATGAATAAATACCCCATGAAACACTAACATTTTTATGGCTTTTTCATCGCCATTACGGGCTTCCATCCTGTGCCTGACAAGCCGCCTGGGAAGCTTCCCCTCTGGTTGAGGTTGGGCGACAGTGAACAGCTGGAAATGGCGCGGGGAGCGGTGGAGTTCACGCGGGACTTTCAAGGGTTCACCTACGGCGATAGGGCCGATTGGGTCAAAAGATGTCAAAAACACCAAAGATGGTGAGATATATCGTGGTCCACCGTAATAATCAACACCCCCGGTCCCCAAAATCACAGCAATGGTAACGGTAGGTATCACAAAAAACCCATCAAACATAAAGGGGGAGGGTTGTGGCTTTCCCCCAGAAGGCGGGATCGCCAGGCTGAAGCATGGTTGCAACTGGCTTAGGCAGCACACGCAGCTTGGCTCAATTGATTCCCCCATGGCTTACTCCAAATGGTGAGGGAAACATGCGAGCTTTTGGACTATTTTTTAGGTTCAGCAAAGGTCAGGGTTTCAGCGGATTCCAGCGCATCTTCAAACCCATGGTCCCCATGGTCATAAAGACATTTTACATGCCATGCATGCCATGCCCCTATAACAAAGCTCCTAGCATCCGACCCCAAAATGAAGAGATCCATACAGATCCACTCAGGCTGGCTGGAGTGGTCTTTTTCCTCAGCACCCTGCGTTGGCTGATTGTGATGGCTCCTCACCTGGAACATGGAAAAAATTGACAAAGTGAGTGGCCAGTGGTACCACCTTGGCCCATTTCAATCGCATCCCTGGGAGATCGTGGGAGCTTTGAGGTCTTGTACTGCCTGGGTTTCGTGCTGCTGTGGATTCTGACGGCTCTACGTGTGGGCGGCTACTGGGTGCTGGCCATTCTGAAGGTGCCACTGCTTTCGTAGTCGTAGCATCTTCCAGAGCTGGTTTTGAGCTTTTCGGCAAACTTTGGGGAAAGCATGGGTTTACAGGAATGGTGGTGCCATGCGTTGAGAAACTCTCAAGTTGTTTGGGTAAATCCAGTGAACTTTCCACGCCATTTGGCTGGCAGTTCCGGTTGGTCCGTGGGCCTCAAAATGCCAACCATAGTAGCGCAGTCTCCTTTCAGATTGGTTTTCGGCAGAGCCGCGCTTGCAGACTTACCTGAAAAACGCTGAGCTTTTGTGAAGAGTGTGCCATTCTTAGCCAGCCAATCTTCAATGTTTTCCAGTTTTTGTTCTCCACCCATAGCCATCATACCCTCCATGCGACAGCCATGTGCCACAGCCTCCGGTTCCTCCGGCTGGCGCTGCTACTTGGTGTCGCGGTGGAAGCTGAGAACGAACTTGGTAGAGCGGTCTTCCTGAGACCCACGCGGACCATCCCGCGTGAAGAGTTGTTGAAAGAGAAACCCAGCAGCTGAGGTTTGTTGGGATCTGGATGATTTTTTTCATCCTGGAGTAGATATGAGTAGATATGAGTAGATATGAGAATGATATGAGCAGATTTTCATGGATTTTTAAAGATATTCCCGTTTTGGTGAGGATGTTTTGAAGTTTACATATCCTATCCGCTCCAGGATGACTAGTACGGCTGAGGTTTTCTGTCCAGTGATGAACGTGGGAGAAGTTTGGGGTATGCAGCATGCATATTCCTGGAATGAAATGGGGGGGTTTCCTGCAAGGAGCTACGAACTTCCAAACCACATGATAGGTTTGCGGATTGTTTGGATGGGGGTTGTTTACATTGGTGGTGGACATGATTCTGGGAATACAATCTCCTGCAACGATAAGGATAGTTTAGACTGAACTTAAACCAACAAGCACGCGGATATAGGATACACTAGATACTGTATTTGGATGAGGTGAATAAGCTTCCCATTTTCTTGGGGGAGCTGATTGAAACTTAGCAGCATGACTGACCATTTCCTGTCTTCCTCTCAAGCTGGTGATGAGTACCACCTCGGTTCTAGGGTCCACCTTGGAATTTTTGAGGCTGGGAGTTGCCACTAATTGGTGGGGTCTTAGTTGCCCTGGTCATTGTGGTTCTTCGTCCCTCATTGTCATCTGTCTTGCTCTCTTAGCTGGGATCTCTCTGGGACTGCTTCTTGGATTTCTAGGGGCTTATTGGATTTTGTCTTGCCCTGTTCAGCCGCCTCATTCCGGACCGTCTGTGGTTCAATTTCCTCACTCCTTGCTGAGAAGGAGGTCAAGGCTTCAAGCCTACTTACATGAGTGAGTCGGAACTTGTGCTTTTGAGGAGCCAAGTATCCGACCTGCGAGATCGAGTGCTGAGTTTGGAGTCCCAAGTCAGGGACCTTCTGCGGCTTCATCACGGCGCTGAGAGCCCTGTCCCTGACAACTCTTCTGTTGATTTGGTGTCATCTGAGGTTACTAGGGAGTTCCCACTGCTGTCTGAAAACGCCAAAGAGGTATTGGCAGGTCAGTTCCCTCAGTGCCCACCGGCTGCCCTTGAATTGTGTGCATTGCTCAGAGGAGGTCAGATTTCCAAAGAGCAGAGAGCTAGACGAGCGTGGATTGCTGGGTGCTGGGCCAAGCTGGCCTTGGAAGACAAGATCCGCCTGCCTGAGCCAGCTGAGCCTATCGGGCTTTCCAATACCTGCTTCATTATCCTCAGAGCTGCAGGGCATCAAACCCCCAAGCTTGTGGAGGATTCAGCCACGTATCAAAGGATCTGCCAGGGTCCCACTTGCCGGCCTGTTGGCCACGGCTTCGCATCGAAGTCAGAGGCAAAGGTTTACTGTCTGGCAGCAGAGATTGAGTTTCCCAAGGTGTTCGCATGGAGCTCGACTCAGTGATAGACCTGCGTTCAGGCGCACTGGAACTGTATCGAATTGCTTGGCCCCCAACTGGGGTCGACGAGGTGACCTACGGCCTCGCGTTGGTGGTGAGAAAGAGACATGGAGCAGGGGGAGGTGTTTTGTTGGCTCTGCCAGAAAGTTTGACTTCCACCGCTGCACTCTTGGATTTGTGCACCGGGCAGGCAGATGCCATAGTTGGGGCCTTCCACTACTTCGACATTCCTGCGGTCAGCAATCAGAATGGACTTCAGCCTTTGGACTTTTTGGTGACTGTAGTGGTAGTGGATGTGGCTTTGGATGCTCTCTCCTATATGGTACCGATGTCTCAGGTTTCAGAAGAAGAGGATGTGGGGATAGTTGGCTTTGGAGAAGATTTGGATGTTTTGCCAAACTCAGGACTGCTTTTGTCCCGGGTTGCGACCTGGCTCAACGAGCTCACAGATCAACGCGCAGTTTTCTACTCCGCGGAAGAAGGGGTAGAGGTAGCGGATTTGGACGGTCAGCCAATGGAGGAGGAGCAGGAGGAGCCTGGAATGCAGACCCCGAAGGCGACTGCAGCAAAGCTACCGCCCAAAGCGAAGGAATCAAAACCAAAGAGGGTTACTACAGCATCCCTGGCCGAGCAGATGAGGACTCTTTTGGAGGTGGTGCCTGCTTTGACACAGCAAGTAGAGGCAATGAGGGTCGAGCAGGAAGCACTCAAAAGATCTGTGGAGGAAGGACAAGATCGTCCGGCCCCAAGACCCTCTCAGCTTCCTATCAGCGCTCCTCTGGCGTCAGTGGCCAAGATGTTGGGGCAGCCCCCAAGAACCAAAGCAGCGGCCAGGCTAGCTGTGCCTATGTCTCCGGCGCCAGACCCTCCATTAGGCATTCAGGAGATTGCGGAGGAGAAGAGCCCAATGGCAGGGGACCCCCTGTCACATGCAGTCCTCGAGCAGAGCAAAGCTTTGACGGCATTGGTGGCTCATCTTCAACAAGGCGGAGATCCGTTGTTGGACGGGCACGGCACCTCATCAGGCAGCTCACTAGGTACACGAGGTTCGGTTGGTCGGGAGAAGCTGCAAAGAGAACTCGCGATGAGGTCAGGAGGTTTCTTTCTTGCAGTCCTCCAAAATGCTGCTCGGAGGTTGAAACCGGCATCGAAGATGCCAGAGACAGTGGATGCCCTTGCCCAGACAGACTTCTCGATGGTCCAGTATCTGGAACGCTTCGGCGGCTACGGTGGATCGAAAGAACTGGGTTTGATCCAGTATGCTCTTGCTCACATTTGCGATGCTCTTGTCCATGGAGATTCCGAGGGTGCGAAGGAGCACCTAGCTCTTCTTATGGTGGGGGTGGAACAAGCCTGCATGGACCATGGACGATGGGAACTAGCGTATCGACTCATGCTCCTGGACGAGCCCCCATCCCAACTGTGGTCCTACCGGCAGGCGGGATACGATCCCAAGTTGAGGGCGTTTGCCCCTCTTTGCCCTCAGAGATGGACAACGATTGCGCTGGCATACAGCAAAGAGATAGACTATATCCACCAGAAGCGCAGCGAGATGACTCATCAGCCCAAGGGCAATCCTCAAGGCCTCAGCGAGCCAAAGGCTGCCCCGAAGAAGCCTGGAAAGGGCTCGCCAAAGGGGAAAGGCCCTGCAAAGCCCCAAGAGGAAACGTAGCCCTTGGGGACTATAAGCAAAATGAGAGTCGGCCCCTCTCTTCCTTGCTGAGCTCTTCATCGTCAGTGCGGGCAACCGCAATACACAGTCGGGAAGAAGAGGGGCCATATGACTCTGACCATGATGGCAGCATGAGTTCCTTTGTGAGTTCCAGCGCAGATGGCAATGAATTCATAGATGGCTCAACAAAAAATCTAAAAATCCCCAAGAGCCATACTGAGCACACAGGCCAGCATGAAACTGCCGGCAAATGTGCTGTGATTGGAGGTGGAAGTGGGCATGATGATTCGAAGCAGTCTGAATCCCAACGCTCATCGCCAAAATTAGATGCGCCTGAGGTTCGATACAATGATGTTGGAGTCCTCCGGCAAGTTCCCTTTCCGTCTTGGGTTGAGCAATTTGTGCGCCAACTGCTCGGGGCCAAGACTTCATTTTCATTTTTCTTGGTACAGAGTTTCAAGTCCTGCCGCAGTGGTCGTGATGACTTCACTGCTACGGCTCTCTTCCCGATTCCGTGGCCTTTTCTTGAGATTACGGAGACGGGCCCGGCAAGACCCAGCCAGAGGAGTCGCCTTTTGAAGGCACAGAAAAAACTGGTTCATTGTGCAGTGATGGCAATGAACTATGAATACTTCAGGGCTCCTTTTGCTGTGTTACCCTTGCTCCGGAGGCAGCCTTCAGCCTTACATTTGCAAGTGTATCATAGGCCTATGGCTTTTGTGAGAGCGTGTGGCCCTTCCTGCAACGTTTCAATCGCAGGGTGTGGCCGGAAGAGTTTTCAATTAGATGCAAGATTCAATGAGCTTTTGAAGGGATTGGAAGGCCTAGGGTTGGAGGCGAAGTCGAAGTACCACTCTGGCTTTGAGGCTGAGGAGGTCCCTTTGGATGATTCGAGGTATGAGGAGCTTAAGCCCTACAGGGAGCTTGATGCAGGGCGTATTAAGATTGCAGGCAAAGGACAGTGGAGGTGCGAGGAATTTTTGTCGGATTTCTTGTACATGCCTTTTGTTGAGCCTAGGGTTTTGCGATGGAATGGGAAGCCTCCTTGCGGGAGTTATCCAAACGTTGAGCAGTGCGATCCCGAGGAAGTGCTCAAGCTTTGTCTCATTTGGGATGCCAACAACCTGCTGACTTTGATCCCCAAATGTTATGGTCCTGCAGACGATCAGAAGTTTCTTCACACCAGGATTTTTGGAAACTACAAGCGGATAGATGCAGACAGGCAGATTGGAGACCGGCGTGGAGCTAATTACGTAGAGGGCATCCTGCGAGGAGGACCATCAAGCAACTTGCCCACAGGCCCGTCTTTGCTGCAGCTTGAGGTCCCTAGGTTCTCCAAAGTCCTCTGTGGGTCTGTCACAGACCGTCGGGACTTCTATCATCAGTTTGCAGTCCCATTTGAGAGGGCATCCACCAATACGCTATTTCCAGCGTTCAATGCAGCAAGGTTTGTAGGTACAAGAGCACATGAAGAGTATGCTTTTCATTTTTCACCGCAGAGCAAGAAGAAGGCACGAGAAGATGTGGGAGATTTTTTGGGCGAGCCTCAGCCCTTGCTGGTTGAAGGCTCCTCCGAAGGAGAGGTTTATGCGTGTTTTCAATCTTTGCTGCAAGGAGACCATTTGGGTGTCGAATTTGCATGCGATTCTCACGGGAGGTTGCTGGAGGAGCAGGGCTGTAGGGATCCTCTCAGCATCTTGCAGTCTGACGAAGCAGTGATCCACAATGATCCAGCGACTGGCCTTGTGATTGATGATTTCTTCATTGTCAGTGTGGAAGATAGGATCTTGGCTTCTGGTGACAGACTGCTGAAGCAGGGCAAGTCAAGCCAGGTTTTGGACAAGGCGAAGGATGTCTATGCATCAGAAGGGATCACAGGATCAGATGACAAAGAGGTGCGTGATGCGCTTGTCTTCAGAGCG